ACGTGGGGTTAAAGTGTTCCATATTTTGGAAGGAAAACTCCTTCCAGAGGAAGCAGGGTGCTGCCAGCTTGCTGCAAGAGACAGCTGAGGCTGCTGTGGACACCAGCAGAATGAAGGGAGCAGGTGGAGTTGGTGGAGGCAAACGTGACCTCCAAGGAGGGGAGGAGGGATTTTACTTTCCTTCTGATCCTCCTGTGCCAGAGCACCAGAGCCATGTGACCCCACTTGCCTTTAGTGACCTTGGCTGAGGTGTCTTAAAACTCAACTGAGCTCACAGGGAAGAGCAATGGCTTGGGTAGAAATGGGGATTAGGAATAAGAGAAAAACAGCAAACGGCTACATGCAAAATAGGCAAAGTAAGTATATAATCCTACTGGATTTATAGGAGAGATATTGGCACATACCAGAAACATTTCAAGCCAAATGTATGACAGCATTCCTTACACCCCTCCCACCCACTGCCATACCCCAGCTTAATGCAAAGCCCTTTGGCTTCCCCAGGCTTAGAGCTACGTTTTATTGTTCAAACAGGTCAACAATTGCAATCAGATGTTGACTGCAGGCAAGGCACAAACACGATGAAGTGTTAATGCACAGCACTGCTCGGATGGAGTTTCTGCAGTGCTGCTGCTGTGAATGGTCCTGTGCAGGGTGGCAGCTGGGTTGGTATCTCCCAGGGCTCCCTCAGAAAACTGGGAAGCCCATCAGTGCTATGCCATGAATCCAGTGTGAGATCAGTAAATGAGCTCTGTTATTAAAGCATAAACTCCATTTCTGGAAATCATTGTGGGAGGAGGGCTCTCTCACCAACTCTGCTTTGGTTTGTTATAAAAGCATAGAATCGTTTGGGTTGGAAAAGACCTTTAAAATCATCAAGTCCAACCCAGCACTGCCAAGTCCACCACTCCACCATATTCCTGCATTTTTAAAGTTGCCTTAGAAAGATGCTGCTCCCACCTATAAGTGCCCTTTTAACAAGAACTGAGCTGGAGTGGGATACAGATGATGGCATCTTTGTAAGGCAGGCTGGGAAAGGATCCTACAGGTCTATCTGTGTGCAGCTGTCTGCAAAAATAACCTTCACCATGCTGAGGGGGAGCCAAACAGTACAAAGATTCTGGCTAGTGCCTACAACAAAGACATCCAGAACACGTGGCACTGAAGTAATTCTGTTTATTTCACACCAGGGGAGACTGCAGCTAGGTTATGCAGATACCTTCCCAATGGATGGGACCGTTTTGCTCCAATATAAATTTCCACATGCTCAGCACCGTTCATTGTCAGGGGGTGCCTGTGAAGCTGCTGCTCCCTCCCAGCTCCAGCACAGCAAGAACAACCTTCCCCCAAAGCACTCTCAGAACATCCCTCTCCCCAAGCAGAAGCTCCCCCCTGCCCAGGCACACACAGAGATCCCAAACAGAGCCTGGCACGCTCTTCCCAGACAGGAATTTTCTACTGTTGTGTCACTGACCACAGACCTGGCAAGGCATTATTCAGGTGTTAACATCCCCGTGCTTTGTTCTGCACCCTGACTAGGACAAGATCCATCATTTCTTGGTTTGTTAGCACACTGAGAACTCTGAGGTGCCAGAATTTTACAGCCAAATGACCTTTTATACTGACCACAGCAATTAAACAGTTGGCATGGATTTAACCAAATCCCAGTCTCAGTCAAGGATTACACAGATGCATAATGTACCATTTACAGCTTCACTCCTTTCTTAATTTTCATGCTGTTGGGTTTGCTTTGTCTTTTTGTTTCAAGTTCAGAAACCTTATTTAAGTTGTTATGGAAAAAATAAATTTATTATTCAACATATTCAATTTGTTCAAAATGGAATAATCCTATTTTTTTTTTTTTTTTGGCTTTCATTTACAACTGGTTCCATTCAGTTCGACTGTTTTTTATCTTTTTCTATTTATAACCAGCACCAAGAAGAAAATTACCATGGATACAGTACATATGCAAATTAGCTAATGGAAAAATATATACATTTTACTCTGTAATGAGAAAACTTAAATGATATTATTGCCATGGAGAATATATCCCTGTATTATAATAAAATATCAAGCAATAATCGACTGCTAAGATTCTTTTCCACCGACAAAAAATAGCACCATACATGAGATAGTGAGAATCTACACTCAATAACACAATTGTGCAACTAGAAATGTACAGTACTTTAGTAACAGTACAGAGTATTGTTTACAATATGGAAATACCACCACTGTAATCAAAAGAGCATCAATCTCTTATGAACAACTAAGAAAAGTATTGTCATAGATACACTGAAACAAACAGCTTTTCTTTTCACCAGAATGTGGGAACTGAGGGCAGAGCATAGCTGTGACTTCACTGTAAAACTCCTATAAAGTGATAAAAACCAGAAGTGATAAAAACCAGAAGTGAAGGAATATTGAATAGAATTTTTTTTTTTTTGTTATTATTATTATTTTTCTGCCTGTTATGTGATGGAATGGTTGTCACCATGTGAAGTAAGAGAACTGAATAAAGTGGAACTGTGTTGTGCCATGAGTTCTTAATCAGTGTTGGGGGGATTGATTATAAAACGTAAAAGGTTGATGCATGCTAATCTGTGAGAGCAAGCGAGGTGTTTTTTTCTCAGTGCTCATACAGTTGAAAAAAATCCTTGTAAATTCCTGTGTCCTTAGGTAGGACCCAGAACTTAGACTCAAGCATTCTTTGGGTCCAAAACCCAGCAGATTGGGTGAGGCCACAGGTCTAACCAGCCTAGCACCTGTTCTGGACAGTGGCCAGTAATGAACCAGTACTGAAAAACACAAAACCTAAAATCCTTCCTCTCCTATGTCCTACCTTTTGCCTAGAGAGCATCACAGATCAGCACCAGAAGGAAAACGTTCCCTGCTGTGGAAAAGCACCTTTGATTCCCAGCAATGATAATTCACACAATTCTGCCAAGGTAACAGAGAAAATGTTGCCCATGAGAAGAAAACCAGCAAATTCCAAACTGAGTGAGGGGTGCCAGGGGACTCAGGGGTGGCTCTGGGGGCAGGGAGGCAGCAAGGACAGTCCCAGTGTCACTGCAGGTTAAGGGGGAAACACCACTGTGAATTATGAACATAAACCAGGTCCTCTGGGCTCTGTCGGATCTCATGGAACTTCCTCATTAGCAGTTCTTCTGTCTGCTAATTTGATTAATTGAGTATCACCTGGTATTGTCTAAATCTCCCCTGTCACTCCTGCCAGCAATCTTCCCTTGATTACTTGCTAAGTACTTACACAACCTCTGGGCTGGGCAAAAGGATGGGAATAACAGAAAAAGGAGGTCTAATCCTGATTATAAATTGTCAGAAAAAAATCCAGTATAACAAAAACCAAGTTGGAATCATTTCCCTGATAGAGAAAATCATCTGAGGCATTGGAAAGCAGATCTGTTTGAGACAGGCATTTGAGGAAAAAAGGTGTGCAAATGTGCCCTTGTGCATCAGGCCAGCCCTGGTGCACACACACTAATTTGCACTAACAAGCACAGATGTAAATGTGAAGCCCACACAGGGTTAGTCTGTTGATGAACATTATCTCCCTGTGCTTGAAAAATTTAGCCCTTAATGAAATGCTACTAGGTTATTCCAGTGAGGTCCTGGATGTGGATAGAACTGTACTAAAACTAAAATCTGCTTTAAAGACATGTTAGCTACTAAGATTCTTTATCTTTCCTTGCATTGACAAAAAGAGACAACAGCAACAAAGACAACCTGGGGCCAGATGTGAGCTGCAAGCCAGTTTGGCCCAGGGGCTGGGGGAGCAGCTGGGCTTGGTTCTGTGCTCAGCTCCAAGGAGTCAAACAGTCCCACACAGTTCTAGAGCGAGTACAAAGCTGCAATTATCCAAAGGGCTCTGCTCCTGCCACGAGGAGGGGGCTGAAGGGAAATGATGCTTGTTGGAGCAAGATGTGATAGGGAGACACTGATGCATGTGACAATGGAGGGGACAAGCCCTGCCCTGGGCAGAGCTCCTGTTTCAAGTCTCACATCATGGAGAGGAGTCTGGTTTAAAGTGCAGAGACATGGCAGAGAGTATTGTGTGTACAGCACCTGAAGGGTTCTGACAGCACCAAACCTGACAGCACCACAGAAGTGAGACAGGGAGCATCCAAAGAGAGAGGAAATTCCCAAGCCCTGGAAGCAATGGAAGTCTGAGCCCTCTGGCTTCCCACAAGCTCCAGGTTACGCTTTGAATGTCTTGGATCCCTGGCTACTTCTGGTTACTCCAAAAGCTACATAACCTCAGCTGTATAAAAGTGCCCAGAGATAGGAAACACCTGTTCTGCTCCCCACTACATCCTTTTCATAAAGATTGTTCCAAATTCAGTTTCTGTTCCAACCCTATCCAGTTTCACAGTCCTCTTATAAGAACCAACAGTCTCATTATCTGATTGACTTCTAGAAATTGGAGAGAGCTTAGGCCAAGCAATCCCTCAGTGAGCTCTACTGGATGAAATGATTTCTGGCTTTTCCCATCTCGTGTAAATGGTTCTTGTTTAAAAGTAACTATCTACGGCTGTTAATAAGCTTCCATTTTATTATGCTCAGAGAAAAATTAGGTTTCATAAAAGAAACTGAATTATTCTGGGGAAAAGATAGAATTGTTTTTTAGAATTAGAAGGAAAAGCACTCCCTATTAGTGGCTCTAAAAATATGACTTGGAATGTTGGATATAATTATACTGAGTTTTCTGTAGGAAATTCAGAGATGTCCATCCTCTGCTATCAGTTTTCACAAGCTTTTACAGAAAATCCTCTCTTTAAACTAAGCCCTTCATTTATGCATGTCCCTCCAAGCCCATTCTGCAGTGGGATAACTGCTGGGAATTGAAAACAACAGATAAAAGCCAAGATTAAAAGATTAAGTAATGTCTCTACCTTTGCTGAATTATTTTGCCAGGGGCTTTCCTCCATGGAGGTACCCATAACCTTATCCAATGTAATCACTTTGCAACTCTTGTCCTTTTCTTTAATGGTAGCAAGCCATCCAGTGGCTGGTGATTTAATATATTAAAAAAGCAATAATGAAAAATGTGAGGATGTCAAAATATTCAGAAATGATTGGCTCCTTGAGATGACCCTTTCTGTGTGTTTTTTTTAAGGTGGATGAGCGGATGACTTTGGTATCCAGTCTGTAGGATTAGTTTCAAGTCTCATTAGGTGTGCTTTGGGATCCACCACGATGTAGCAACTCATGAAGTTCCAGTACTCAGACCTACTAGTCTGTGATTTACATACAAACAGCTGGAAGACTCTAAGGAGTGGCACAGTTCATTAACTCTTCTGCTGCATCTTGTTTGCATAAAAGTCTCTGCACGTCTGGCAGCAGCGCTGGTACCACCGCATGTCCTGGCATAGGTTCTTCTCGCGGATCACCCTGCAGTACACTGTCCACTGGTCCCCCGTGCACTTGTAGGTGAGGGCAGCTTGGGAGGAGACAAGAAAGGAGAAACTGCCAGATTAGCCAGGGCACAGCACTGCAGGTGTGACCAAAAGCCCTGCACCTGAGGGGAGGGAGGGCCACACTCGCTGCCGGCACTGGAGAGCAGGTCATGTTCTCGCTACCAAAATATCGGGCTCTTGGAAGTGCTTCCTTCCTTCCCTGGACATGAACAGGGAGTGCAAACATCCTCATGTTGCACCTATTTTGTCTCAGAGGCAAACAGGCCTGGATGAACAAAACATCCAAAGATTCAGCCCAGCTTTAAGGCCATGAACTCTACACTGCAGTCAATGGGATGGAGATGAATAAATAACACACCTGGCAAGAACACCTGAGACAGACTTTATGAATGAGATGGGAGAGTTCACATAATAGAAAATAAGCCACAAATAAGGCCAGGACTAATATTTCAGAGGTCCAATATCCCTCATAGGTTGTGAAGGAAGACAGGAAAGAAGTGACAGAATAAATCGCTCTGAATATGTCATCAATGAGAGACACTGGACACAGACATAAAAGACAGGTGAGGTGAATTCCATACTCAGATATTTTTGGAAATATTATTCAAGACAGAAAAACATTCTGAAGCAGGGACAAGGCAGCAAGGGGTCTGTAGACTACTGGACTTTTTTTCTGTTTTCTCTTTTTTTTCTGATGCCCCCATTGCAGAAAACAGAAAACTCTGTTTAAAGATAATCCAATTAGAATTGTTTATAAGCAAGAAGAGCAAAACATTCAATGATATGTCTTTCTACTAATATCAAATATCATTGTTTCTGGCCCTGGTGATTCCAAGCCTGGTTTAGAAACAAAAGCATCCCAAATTGCTTGCAGATTACTTTCAGCAGGGACTTGAGCCTCCTCAGTCTTCTAAGCACATGAGCATTTTATTGCTTTGTCCTAAAATGTGAATTAGGATGGATTTCTTGTCTCATCAGTGTTTCAAGGGCTTAGTTCTCAAATGAAATGTTTTCCTTTTGCTATGCTCTTAGTGCTAAAATATCTGGGAAGTACTCTCATACCAAAAGAGGTTAGAAGCCCCTCAGCATGAGGGCATTTGCAAGAATGAAAGTCCCCATTTTCTTTTAAAACATTTGGTAAACTTTCAGGGAACAAATTTCAGTTCAGAAGCTTCAAGTCCAGTCCTAGTTTAAGTGTTATTTAATACTGGACAGCACTATTAGAAAATGGTTCTCATTTATCAGCTCTGTGTTTTCATGTGTGGTAGAGGTTTCTTAGCCTGTAAGATCAGCTCAGCTGTGACAGAGGAGGCTGCTCTTTCTGGTAACTTCTTCTTGTTTACCTTACTCTTCTTGTTTAGCCTCTTGTAAAGAAGGGGACAGGAGGCACCCTTGAGGCTGTGTCAGTGTAGCTGATGCCTTTACTTATCTTCATCTTACTGCTGAGGATGTGTGAAATGCAAAGAAACCAACATGGTTCTTGGAGCTGTGGTGGAACACACAGGGCTGAAGTTTGGAAAAATATATTTTTAGTATATTTATATTTTTATCTCCTTATAAACCAAGGAAATACAATGTGGAAAATCATAAGATCCCCACAAATTTGTATTAACAGAGGCATTCTTAACTAGTGGCACGTATTAAATACAGTGTTACAGTGTTTCAGGAAACAGATGGTCATCACCATATTCCCATCTCAGCCAGGGACACAAGGAATGCAGGGAGGATGAGGAGGAGGACAGTGACAGAAAATCACAGGGTTTACAGGAAGTCCATCAAACCACCTGTCAGGGTCATGTATTTTCTTGGGGTACAATGAATAAATAATCCTGCTTCACACTCATTGCAGCACAGCAGTGTTGTGGACGGGTTTGTGATGGAAAAAGATGCACCTGCCAGTTCCCTCACCTCTGTCATCGATCAATCAATCAATCAATCAATCAGTCACTCAATCCTATCCATCACCCACCATTTGTGTGCTCCTGCTGCTCCCTCGGCTCCATCCTCTGCCAAGCACTCCACCTGGGCACAGCCTGAGGCAGGGGTCAGACAGGACCCACCCACACCAGACCTTTAGTGGAGTCTGCCTGAGCCTCTCCCAGTTTCTGGCCCCAGACAATCACTGCAGCCCTCCCTGGGCAGCTGGCACCTTCCCCCCAGGCCCCTGACTCACCGAGCCTGGGTGAGGTGATGGTGTTGACGTTGATCTTGTCGTTGCAGACCTCCTGGTGGCACTGCCTGTAGGCTTGGGGCTTGGCCAGGGCCGGGCACTCGCTGCCGTGGCGCCCCGTCACTTTGTGCATGCACTGCACCACGCGCGACTGCAGCCCCTTGCCGCACGTCGAGGAGCACTGCAGGAGAGAACACACTGAGCACAGAGGTTTCCATGTCACATGCACAGCAAAAAAACACTGCCAGAGCAGAGGGTGCAGCCACTGTGGTGCTGAGGGCTCACAGCTGGGTCACTGAGGCTGCCAGGGACCCACTGCGTGGCTGCTGTGCTGTCCGTGGTGGTTCTGCACCTTCTGGGGGTGCTGAGAGCACAGGAACTCTCCTGGCACAGGGAAGGAACCTGTTATCTTTCTGCCCCAAGTTTACCTACTCTGACTGTCCCCTGTGGATGCCCATGGGATTCAAGCAGACAAAAATGCAATTCTCTCCACCAGACATGAAGAGACAAAGCTGAAAAATGTGTAATGCTTAATTATGGACCAGCAGCTTCCACCTCCCTCTCTGTGAGGGACCCAGTGGTACTTGGTTTAAAAGTCCTCTCCAAGACTTGGATGGTCTAACAAGGCTTCCTCCACAGCCAGGATGACCACAGCCAGGCACTGACATAAGATAAATCCCAGGATTACAGCACAAGCTGGCAGCTCCTGCGTGCCCAGACCTCTGAGAAGCTCTGTTCTGGAGAGAACACATCAGGTATTCCAGTACTCCTTCCCATCTATCCCTGCTAACTGTCTGGCACTTGCCTGTCCTCCTGGGAGCAATTGCAAATTGTACTCATGAGTTTTGGCTGCTATTAGCCAGGAGGCCCAGCCTGTTCATATGCTCTCTTTGTTGTCACACAATCAGAGTCCCTCCCTCTCCCTCCCTCTTCCTCTGGCCCAGTCACTTGTGATTTACAATGTCCTACTTGCACGCTGTTCAATTTTAATAAAGCAAACACAGTGAGCACAGGGAGGTGCAGCAGCTGGAGTCAATAAAAGAACCTTGTATTTAACATAAAGAAACAATGGCTTGCAAGACTTGGGTAAGATTCCTGTTTCTGCTAAAGCCACACACAAGCAAACTATGGGGGAGAGGAGGAGGTGAGGGAAAGCCCAGAAGGCATCAACAGAATTATGTAAAAAAAATATCATGTTTTCTGTCCTCTGCTGTTTCTCACCAAAGTCAGGGCATTAGAGCTTTCTCCCTGAAAAACACTATCACCTCAGAGAGGTAATTCTCAAAAGAGAGATGCCAAACATTGGAGAGGTTCAGAAGATGGGCATCACTGAGGCTGGACTGAAGTCCAGGTACAAATCCTGTGTGTGTGCAGTGTGGATGCTTGTGAGATCCAGATCCAAGGGCAGAACATGTGGATGCACACAGGGCTCCACCTCTACATCCAAGGGGGGTGAGTAAAGCAAAGCCATGGTCTGGAAGTATCACAAGAAAGCCCTGCTGTTTTGTTTTTTTTGCCTTTACAATATTCTCGTTTCAATTTAAGTTCAACACACCAGTTTATGAGAGATATTTTTAGACTTTTTACATTTTTCAGGTGTTGAATTTACAATAAAAATTGATCACTGTCAAATAATACCTCAGGAATGGTTATCGTATTTAGGATTATGCTGAATCAACCCTTCTCCTGCCCTACCCTTCACAATCTGAATTTATGCAGTGAGATCTGGACATCACATCAGTTTTGTGTGTCCCTCAGCTCTTTCCCAGTAGTGAGTGCCCCCAGTGACTTCCACCAGCCTGGAAGTCCAAGGCCACTTTTCATCCTGATAAATGCAACTATTAGGCCCTTCCACTCCACCAGTCAAATGCAACCTTAAATCCTCAGGATTTCAGTGGCACTTTTAGTCTTCGCAGTGCTTTTACTAATCTTAATCCTCCCCAAACTCTTTGCTTTGGGAGGGGAATTGTACATCCATTTTGCAAACAGAATCGCTGTTATAACACAGGGATTAAATAACTCAGGCCATGGGCTTCCTTCACTTGATTGTAACACTGAGTCTGAAACCTCTGTCTCTGGCTTTTAAGCTCTCCCTGTGCTCTCAACAGGAAGGACATGGGGAGAAAGAAGGGAAAAAAAGGACAAAATCAGCATTTTTCTCATAAGGTAAATTAGGTTTTCAGATACCAACACACACTCACCTACCTTTGTCTGTGTTCCTGTCTCTACATTTGTTAACCAGCAAGGAGGGCAAGCAATGAAACTTTTTTCCACAGGCACTGCCAACTCCAATCCTCAGACAAATAACAGCAGAGCTTTTGCCCAAAGCAGTTTTATTCCTTCTCCTGGGAGACTGGGATCATCACCTATGCTATGCAATTAGTTTTTCACAGCCAGCAAGACAGATTTTAACATCTTTCTTGAACTCTTTAGGGCTTGGCAGCTAAAGGAAGGCTGGACATCTGGCTTATTTTAAAACAAAATTTTCAACTCAGTACTTGGATAGTCTCTTTCTTAGGAATTTCAATAGGAAATAAGAATAGATACAAAATACATACAAAGGGGGAATTGTTACTCATGCTGCACTATGAGAAGAGAACATCATTAAAAGAAGCATAAAAATCAAACTCCAACTGCACAGCAAATTCCCATAAATACCTTCTCTCCTTCTCTGGACAGCTAAATGCACTGCTATGGACTCTCTGTTCCCAAATGTTTGTGGAGCAAGGCACCATGTCCACAGAACAATTTTCAGGGCTGGATTCACCAGAGAAGACCCACCAGCAATCTGCCTCCTCTGGAAAGTTGGGGCTGGGGCAAGGGGCTGAGCAGAGATGCTGGTGCTGAAGAAAGAAGTGGATTTTCCCTTCCACCAGGCACTGCCAGTGGTGTCACCATCACAAAAACACACAGAGTTTAACCATAATACCCTAAACTGATAATACAAGCACTGTAAACTGGAAATCCACCCCCATGCAAAGATCAAAGAGTTGCTCAGCACTGTAAAATAGAGGTGGTTAATGAACAGCTACAAAACATGAAGCTAATGAGAACCCCTGTAACTCCCAGTTCAAACACTGCTTAGGAAGGTAAAAGCAAGACAAAAATGCCTCCATTCACATTTTTTGGCAGTAACATGCAAGCCAGTGGGGATATCCAGAAGGAAATAAACTCACAAATTGTCAAGGCAGCAGCTGCGTTCAACAGCTTAAAGAAGATTTACTCACTGAAAAACTCTAACCTTAGGAGCAAGCTATGATTTTTCAACTGGAATGCTATTTACACCTTAGGATACTGATATGAAAGCTTGAAATCTAGCAAAGGTGCTGACAGATGTCTAATTGCTTTGAAAGCAAATGCCTTAGGAGAATATTAGGTATTAAAATAGAACAGATTTACAGAAAGCGCTGAGATCTGTCAGGGCCTTCATCAACTCCTGGTCTACAAAAGATAGCCAGAGAAAGAGTGGGGAACAAGAATGACTTAAGCCAGGGCAGGGCTGCTGTTGGGCAGCACAGCAGAGAATCCAAAAATTCCTCTGTTGAGGATTAATAGTGACAGAAAAAGTACAGATTTACCGGCACAGAGACAGGTTCAAGACTGAATGGGATAATGGATCATTGCTGAGGGCTCCTGGGAGGCTGGGATACATTTCAGATCCCAAGACATCTTCAGAAATGTTGCTTTTCTAACCTCCAGCGGATAGATGCGGTTTTTTTTGTAAGAGACTTTTTCCAGCAGAACCAGGAGGTCACAGCATCCCTCCATCCAATCCTGAGTGCACTCCGCTATGGAGAGGGCTGATCTGTCAGAGGGAGATCCAGTTCTAGATGACTGTCATAACTAAGCTGCAGGCAAGATGGGGTTTTCTCTTTATTCATCAATCTGCAGTCATCTGATGTTTAAAGATACTGGTTTGTCCCCAGTTTGCTGGAAGCTGCTGAAGCCAAGGATAACACCACAGCTAAAGCTCCAATATTGAGAGATAGAGTCATGCTTTACTGACTTCAGAGTTCAAGTATTCAAGGCGTTAGGGTAGAGTGTTTTTCCCCTCAGGGATCTTATTTCTTGCCTCTATGAAAGTCAGAAAGAAAGCAAGACAAGTTCCTATTAAAAACATTCTAACACAGCATCTGAGATGAATGACAAAGGTCCTGTAATTGCTCCCTTCCCGGGACCTTAATAGCACACATATGTGTGCTCTGAAAGCCAGTGCTCCACACACCTTCACATCAGGCTTTTTATGAGGATCACTATTTTAAACCCCATAGTTCTAGCTAAAAAGCAGCATGCAATACACTTTCATAAACACCAGGTCAACTTTCACCATGGCATCATGCTAAAGAAAGAAATATCTGTCTTTTTACTGATAAGATCTAATTAGCCCAAAGCAAACTGTAAGCTGTTCTTCAAGCTTCCTTGTTATTTTCTTTTCTTTCTTTCTTTTTTTTTTTCTTCTTCTTTTTGAACCCCAGATCTGTAAAAGAACTTATCTGGTCTTGCTTACAACAATCTTTCATTTGGAAACTTTTGTGAAATGACTGATTTGTTTAATTTAGCCAAGAAGAAAAAAATGCATACCCTTCTGACTCAGTATGGGAAGAAACAATAAATTATAGCAGCAAATGCTCGTGGCTGATGTGACAGTATCTTAGCAGGGAAAGAGAAGCAATTTTTGCAAACTGCCTACAGCTGTACTTTCAAACTGCACGACCCCAAGGAACAAGACCTGACCAGCACATCCAGCATTTCTCAGGGCATAATTAAGCTTGGCTTTGCTATTCTGAAAAGTTCCATTGTGTACAGAGAGTTCACAGATTAAAGGCTGAACACATGAATATTCTGGGTAATGACAGTGCCCCTAAAGTATTTGTACAGTGGAGCCCAGGTGGATGCTGATGAGAAAATGCCATTTAATCCAATATTCCAATCAGGCAGAATTTACTTCTCATGAGGTTTCAAACTGTTTCAACAAGAGGCTCAAGCAGAGCTGTGAGGTGATACAGTGCTGCCCACAGGGGACCATTTTCTAGCAGGTCACCTACTGCACTTGGGCTGTGTTTGGACCTGTGGCAGAAAGTGGAAATACTCCAGAGCTTATTCCACCAGGAATCTGCAAGGACCTGATGGTGAAAAACAGCGAATGCAAAAGGCATAATCAAGGTAATTTTAAATAGACTC